GGGGGCCAGGGGAGGGGGGCAAGACCAGTACTGTGGGGACCAGGGGAGGGGAGCAAGACCAGTACTGTGGGGTCCAGGGGAGGGGGCAAGACCAGTACTGTGGGGGCCAGGGGAGGGGAGCAAGGCCAGTACTGTGGGGGCCAGGGGATGGGGGCAAGACCAGTACTGTGGGGGTGGGAAGGGGGCAAGACCAGTTCTATGGGGGACGGCGGGGTGTGGGCAAGAACAGTGCTATGGGGGGTGGAGGGGCTGTGGGTAAGACAGTGCTATGGGGGAGCCATGGGCAAGACTAGTACTATGGGGGCAAGAGAGGGAGAAAAGACCAGTGCTGTGGGGGGGCAGGGGGAGGGGCTGTGGTCAAGACCAGTGCTGTAGGGGTTAGGGGGACCGTGGGCAAGACCATGTTAGGGTATAACACTCTGCACCTCTGTTTCTCTGATCAGGGCTCATTCTGTGGCCTCAGAAACAAGGTCTCACCTTGTTTCAACCTCGGTCCCAGCCCCTCATCAGTCCCAGCTGGGAGCTTAGGTCTCTAAGGGTATTGCTGTGTCTGGTCGAGCATCCCTCCCAGAACACACAGCACCCCCAAACCTGTCCCTCAGCACTCAGGACGTGGTACCTGGGAGTGTGTGGCATGTCGTGGGCATTCTGCCCATGGGAACAGATGTGAAGGGGCAGGGGAGGCCCCAGATCTGTCCGGGTGACAGTAAGAGGCCTTGTTGGCTGGAGAACTCACATAGGGGAGCAGTGCCCTGAAAGAATTTAGAATTTGATGGGCAGGTTTCCATTTTGTGAGCAAGAGGGAAAGGCGCTGGCCGCTGTAGCACCCCGGGAGCACAGCATCCCCCCAGCCACGTGCTGCCCCTACTTGGGGAGGCCTCCGCCCCAACAGAGGATCACAGGCAGGCAGCTGGGCTGATGCTGCACCCACTGCAGGCCTGGCTTTTAGCGCAGAGTTTGTGGTTTGCTGTTGGAAGCCCGATGGCTTTTCTGTAGATAAAAGGGCCTGAGTCCTTTACAGGCCTGTGTCCTTGCTGCTTTGCTCTCAGGTGAGGCTGACAGTCATTTGTTCGCCAGCAGGACTACAGAGTCACCCCGAAAATAGGTGCTAATTGTGAGGCACGATTTGAAAGGTGCGAGGCACACTGTCTATGAAAGGGCTGCAGTCTGCAAACCTCCAGCTGGTTTGGAACATCTCATGGCTGCCTTACTGTCTGCTGCCACCAGGTGGGGCTGTCTTACACCGTATCACTCTTCTGGTAAAGGCACAGCAGGTATGGTCGGCCCCCATCAGAACCGGCCCAGGTAGTGTTAGTGAGGAAACACAGGGCAGAAAACTGCAGCTGCCAGGCCTGTGCTTGCAGACCTTGCGCTCTCGGCAACTTCCAGCCCAGGTTCACGGCGACCTGGAGCCCGGGCAGACCTCACTTACTGTGTGTGCTCGTTTAGGATGTGGCTTGGAGCTTTTCCCTCACGGGGTTGCTGAGTGGCCCTGCTGAGTCAGCACTGTCGCGGTGGACAGACCCATGGCCACTAAGATTCCATCTTAAATATTAGCATGAGGGCTGACTCTTCCAGACATAGCCTGGGGCCCGGTTGAGGGAAGAGTTTCACAGTGTGGTAGAATAAGTGCCCTTCTGCTGAAACTAAATACACTTGAATGGTTAACTGAGATAATGCCCCAGAGCTCTGTGACACCTGACATACTGTGCATGCGCAATACCTGCGGCTCGCTGTCATTAAATCCTTAAGAGAAACTATTGTATACTAATGAAAGTGCTTCTGAGCTGATAGAATTTGATTGTAGCGTTTACTTTTGTGCAGTTATATTGGTTTATGAGGTTTAGAAGGAAAAATCGGACGCTCTGAGCCTCAGGTGCCTTACTTATAAAGGTTTTGGCATCAGAGTCCCGTTCATTCAAAAGCCAATTGAGTGTCCGTCTTTACAGCATGATGGTCTAAGGGCCAAAGTCCCTGCTCAGGCAAAAAAAAAAAAAGAGTATTTGGGGCAGGATGGGGCTGGTTGGGAGCACATGGTTCAGAGGCAGACTTCTGACTTGAATCTCGACTCCACCACTCCGCCTGACTCTGTAATCACAGGCAGGGTACCAAGCCTTCATCTCCGTGTGCCTTGCAAGGTGGGGTGCAGATACAAGGAGCTAGTGCAGATGAGCCCCTAGCATGGTGCTTCTTTGATCGGCTTGCTGCATGGTGAACTTACTGTCACTATAAGCTGCTGTTTGTTGCCTTTATGATTCCCTCAGAGCCATTTCAGTTTTGAACTCCAAAAACTGATCGAATCTAAATGTCTTTTTAGCCAGTCCTTCAAAGTCTGATTCCCTTGGCCAGATTTCAAACTCACTTTGCTGGTTCTCTGCTGATACTTCTATTTTGAAGCGCCCCATATGTCTTGATGTGGGTGTGGAACTTTGGAATCCTTTAGTATGAAAGGCACTTTGGGAAATACAGAACAAAGGCTGTGCTCCGACATGGAGAATTTCTAAACGCATTAGAAAAGAAGTGTTGAGATTGCGTACACGTGTGCATGCGTGCACCTGCTGCCTCAACATTGTCTCCTTCCGCTCAGATTTCCTAGCATTGTTGGTTATTTCTTTTCTGTCATCTTCCTTTTTGTTCTCCAAATTTTCAAAGGCTTCAGTTTACCCCTAGAACTGGAAGGAATTTCTGCTGATACAAATGATTACAGTTGTTGAGTTTTCCCAAGACTTGAGCGCACAGTAGCAGCATAATTTGCTTCTCTGAGCTGATAACAATAGGCCCTGCCAGTGCTTCGGTGAGGGTGGCCAAAGGACGCCATCTTTCCACTGAGACTGCTTGCTGTTTAAAGTTACTATTTCCATAGCACTGTAACTAACACTGTTAGGGACTCTTACCTCATAAAAACCATCACCTAAAAGCTTACTGCAGCCCTTGTCCCCCTACATGAGTGCATGCACACTCTTTAGCAGCTGACATGGCCCTGTGGGCCCCACGCTAACAGACCGCTGGGACCTCCAGAGACACCGCATCTGCCTCCAGTGCCAACTCGTTAGGCAGACACGGCCTCAGAGTGAGAAAAACCCTGTAGCGCTTACAAGAGCAGGAATAGAAACTTGGAGAAGTTGGAGGTTTATTCCTAGGAGGATTGTCTGGGACATCTTAAAGAGTCCATAAACAGCCAGCAGGTGCCCTCCAACCCCAATCCAAGTTAAAGACCTTGTCAGGTGTTGCAGCCTGCCATGGAGCTGGAGCAGCCACGTGCTTAACAGCGGGCCATACAGCTTTCAACTTGCCCAGCAGAACCGTGTTCTCATCCCAATTCACTCTAAAATGTTGTAATACTGAGATCCCAAATGGAGTGAAGTCATTTTCAGTCTGGGGTCTGACCAGGGCTTCTCCGTGATTCTGGACTCTGTTAACACCAGTCAATCATATAGACAAGGTGTAAATGAACTGGCTGTGCAGTCTGGAGGCAACCTGTTCTGCATGGCCGTGAGCCATTACACAAGCTGCACTGTCTCCAAAACCTGGGTCACGGTGTCTGGTTAAAGTATGTTGTCGTGCAGGTGGCTTAGATCAGCAGCTCTCAGCCAGGGGCGGTCTTCCTCCCAGGGCATATTTGGCAATGTCTGGAGACACTTGACTGTCATCACAACTTGGGGCGGGTGTTGCTACTGGCACCTTGTAGGTGGAGGCCAGGGACACTGCTAAACACCCTACAATGTGTGAGTCAGCCCCCACGACAGAGAACGACGCAGACCAAACAATAATGCCCAGGTGGAGAAACCCTGGTTGAGAGCACGGCAGAGGGAGCCTTGTTTGTGATCCTTGTGCGGCAGTTTCCTGAGTGACCCCCGAGCTTATTTGCCTAGTCTGTCTCACACTCATAACTTATACAGAGAAAGGGCTTTGAGTAACTGGGAGGAAGTGGGATAGCCTTCATCTTTTCTGACTCCCGTGGTTCGCCACAAGAAACAAAGACACTCGCTGAGGCCAGAGCTTTCCTACAGCCAAACATGGTAATTTTTGCAGGCCCACACACACATCTAAACCCTAGCTGCTCGTGACTTTGACTTTGATATCTGTACAGATAGAAGTGATGTTAGCAAATATGAACAATCTGGCTATGTATCTGTACTTGTAAATTTTTAATATTTATGAGAAATGCTAATGAGAGTTAGGGAGAAATCAATTCATACCTAAATGGCTTAATATTGGGTGTCTTTTGCTTAGTATATTCCATTAGAATTTTCTGGATGTTTCTACCAAACAAGAAGCATTTGGCTAGCATGGATGCCTTTAGTCTCAAATCAGAGGCCTGAGCTGAGCTTTCTTCTCAACAACTTCTTGACAAGCCAAACCAAATCTGTTGCGATCAAGTCGATTCCCACTTATAGCCACCCTATAGGACAGAGTAGACTGCCCTATAGGGTTTCCCAGGCTGTAAATCTTTACGGAAGCAGACTGTCACATCTTTCTCCCTTGGAGAGGCTGGTGTGTTTGCTTTAGCCACTGCACCACCAGGGCAGGAGGCCCCCAAATGGCCTTGCTGGGCAAGGCTGTTTCTTGAGTCCAGAGCAGAGGCTTTATGGATTCAGTAGTAAAGCCATCTAAATTATGAGCATCTCTTCCCGGGTGACATCGTATTGGGTCAGAATTTCTGGATTTGCATCTCACTGTGTTATTGACTTAATGATTACAAAAATAACTGTGCCCTCAGTTTTTAGTTTTCACAAAAATATACCTCTTATAAGATAAAATCCATAAAGATTTTATGAGGTTAAAGATTAAATGAAAGTATTTTAAGCTTTTTAGGGACCTAGTAAAACAAGTAAGAGTGATAGTTATTTGGATCAGTGATGACTAATTATTACAATTTTTTGCAGATGGAATTGGCTGCTCTAGAAAAAGTCAAATCTACTTGGATTAAAAACCCAGATGACAGCTTGACTGAAACAGACACTCTGGTATGTATGGTTTGGTCTTCTGCTACAGCTGCTTAAATCAGTGTTTTGTACCTCTAGAAATAAAGGCAAAAAGCCCCTCAGGACCACCCTGGAAATAGTGCCTGAATCTGCAGGTTTGTGAATGTTCTGCATTCTCTTTCTCCCCAAATCCTGACCTGTGAAACGTAACCTACCCCAGAGACCAGGTGACACCCTAAATTAGCAAACCAGAAATGTTCCCATTCTACCCCTTAATTAGATCAGATCAAATGCTGGTGTGGATAATTTCTCCCCACCTGTCATCCTGATTCACTTCTGAGAGATGATGACCAGTGTCTTTCCCAGCAAAACCACACCTTCCTTCTTGAGTGTTGCTCTTACAATGGCCAGGCAGCCCACCACAATAAATCTCTGTGTGATTCCTGGTCAACTCCTGCCTCTAAGAGACACTGGAGCTGCCCAGGAGTGCAGGCCAAAGCCCTAGGGAAATGCAATGGACTTGGCTGGGATGCCTGATTCAATTAAACGTGTAACTCCACAAGCATCTCAGTGCCCTTGCCATGTGCTGAGCCCTGAAGATGCAAGGATTAATACATCCAGGTCTCCACCATCAGTGAGCCCACCTTCTGGGAGGAAGGCCCCCCTGTACCCACCTGGTGCAGAGGCCCTGTAGGAGCCTGAGGAAGTACAGATGGATTCTGGCTGGGGGGAGGGAGAGAGACACCTGAGCTAGGCCTCACAGGATACCCTGAAGGTCAACGAGTAGGACTGGAGTCCGGACACCATGGGTGGAGGGGTCAAGGGAGAGTAGAGAATTTGACCATTTCCTATCTCGGGGTATATGCACATCAGCCTCATAGTGAGGCCTTCTACTAGTCCAGTGGAGTCTAAGAAAGAATTATTGTAGGCTTATGTTTCCTATAGGGAGCTCTGGTGGTGCAGTGGTTAAGTGCTCAGCTGCTAACCGAAAGGTTGGCAGTTCGAACCCACTAGTGGCTTTGTGGGAGAAAAGACCTGGCAATCTGCTCCCATAAAGCTTACAGCCTAGGAAACCCTATGGGGCAGTTCTACTGTGTCCTGTAGAGTCACTGTGAGTCAGAATTGACTCAACAGCAATGGAGTTTTTATGTTTCCTATCGTAAAAAGTGAAGAGGACTTGAATCACTTATTGATGAAGATCAAAGACTACAGCCTTCAGTATGGATTACACCTTAACATAAAGAAAACAAAAATCCTCACAGCTGGACCAATAAGCAGCATCCTGGTAAACAGAGAAAAGATTGAAGTTGTCAAGAAGTTCATTTTACTTGGATCCACAATCAACTCTCGTGGAGGCAGCCATCAAGAAATCAAATGACATATTGCATTGGGCAAATTTGCTGCAAAAGTGTTGAGAAGCAAAGATGTCACTTTAAGGACTAATCTGTGCCTGACCCAACCCATGGTGTTTTCAATCACCTCATATGCATGGGAAAGCTAGACAATGAATAAAGAAGACTAAAGAAGAATTGATGCCTTTAAATTATAGTGTTGGTGAAGAATGTTGACTATAACATGGACTACCAGAAGAACAAATAAATCTGTCTTGGAAGAAGTACAGCCAGAATGCTTCTTAGAAGCAAGGATGGCAAGACTTCATCTCACGTACTTTGGACATGTTATAAGGAAGGACCAGTCTTTGGAGAAGGCCATCGTGCTTGGTAGAGGGTCAGCAAAAAAGAGGAAGACCCTCAACGAGATGAATTGACACAGTGGCTGCAACAATGGGCTCAAGCATAATGATTATGAAGATGGTGCAGGACCAGGCAATGTTTTGTTCTGTTGTACACAGGGTCACTATGAGTCAGAACTGACTTGATGGCACCTAACAACAACATAGTGAACACTATAGCAGTAAGGATCCAGCATGTGACAAAACATTAGACTTGGCTCGAGAGTAATTTAAAATTTACTGAGTATTACCTTGCAGTTCCACAGTGACCTGAATAACCCAGCCTCCCCCCTTGCCCCACTCTGGCCCACGCTGCACATGGCAGTCGCAGTCATCTTTTCAAGACGAAATTCCGATTGTGACACTTCCTGTCTGAAACACTGCAGTGATTGCCCAAATCTCAGAAACAATGTTGAGCAAAAGAAGCCAGACACAAAACACATACCATCTGATTCCATTTATGTGAAGTTCACAAACAGACTAAACTGATCTATGAGGACAGAAATCCTAGTATTTTTACAGCTGGGAAGGGGTGTACAGGAAACTTACATGTCTTGATCTGGGTAATGGTCACCCCAGGGTATACGTATGTAAAAATTCAAGCTGTATATTTTAGATTTGTGTTCTTTATGGAAGTCATTTCTCAGTAGAAATATTAAAGATGAAAAGACTGAGCAAAGGCAGGGAGATAAGAAGGTTCATTGCATCTGTGGGAGCCAGGGAGTAAACTCCCCGTGGAACTAGGGCTGGAGCATTTGGGAAATGGTGGGCCCGTAGGAGGATTTAGGAGCGATTAAGGTGGACCCAGGCCAGATCGTGGAGTGCCTCAAATGCCACACTAAAGAATTGGGACTTCAGTCTAAGCAGGACTGATCTGTTCAAGCTATTTGAATAGAGACGTGATATAATGAGCTTTGTGCTTTAGGAGGACAACTCTGGGGGAGGTGAGGATGGTGAAGATTGTTGGAACAGGAAGAGACGGCAAGGCCTGACTGGAAGGTGGGCTGAGGGATGGGGTAGATGTGGAGTGAGCACATGGATAGGATCACAGGGCATCGGTCACGGGATGGGGAGGAAGGGAGACTTCCAAGGTAGATAACAGCGTAAGGAAGTCAGCTGCAAACATCACAGTGCTACCAGCTACAGGGACACCCTAGTGACGGACCTGGGGAGATCCATACAGGGGCACAGCCCCTGCCCACCTAGAGAAGCGAGATCATCAGCCCATTGTTTGTGCATTAACAAATGTTCATAGAGGCAGAAGGCAGAGTGGACTAGCAAGTACAGTGCCCAGCACAGTGGATCTGTGATCCCCCATCTGGCGAGGGAGGAGTTTTAGAACCTCAGGCTTCCAGGAAAAGAAAGCAACTGAATGACTCTTCCCATGACGGTGAGGGTCCTGGCAGGACCCATCGAAGCTCCTGGGTGTCCCTCGAGTGAGCAGTAACCTTCCTGCTTCCTTTCCTCTTGGCAGGAGATCACCGACCAGGACATGTTTGGAGACATAAGCACCAGTCTGATTGTGCCAGAGAAAGTCAAAACCCCCCTGAAGTCCAGCAAGCCCGACCTCCAGGGCTCAGCCTCCCCCAGGTACTCAAGATCAGAAAGAAACTCATAAAAGGGTGAGGTAGAATGAAGGAAGTCAAGCAGGTGGTACAGGCCTGACTGTACTTAGCATGTACCTAGCATAGACTCCGTGGTCCAGGGGAGGAGTAGGCTGGCAGTAGCTTCTGAGTCAGAGGGGCTGCTTAACACTCCCTCTCCCATCTTGGCAGCAAAGTGGACGTGGTGCACACACCCCGGCAGAAGAGGAGCACACCCCTGAAGGAGAGACAGCTTTCCAAGCCTCTGAGTGAGAGGACCAACAGCTCCGACAGCGAGCGCTCACCCGACCTGGGCCACAGCACACAGGTATCTCAGGGCCCCTGCCAGGGCCAAGATTCTGGGCTTCCCTGGACTGCAGTTTCTGTTTTTTATCTTTCTTGGACAGTTACGTGGGGAGGAGAAGAGAAATACCTCGAAACACTCTGAATAAAAAGTCTCAAAGAAAGACCAAAATCAGAAAAGTCTAATGTATTTGTTATTTACTGTTGTCGTTGTCAGGCACTGTCGAGTTGGTTTCGACTCATAGTGACCCTGCGTACAGCAGAACGAAACACTGTCCAATCCCATGCCATCCTCAAGTTGTTGCTATGTTTGAGCCCATTGTTGCAGCCACTGTGTCAGTCTATCTCACTGAGGGTCTTCCTCTTTTTTGCTGACCCTCTACTTTACCAAGCATGACATCCTTCTCCAGAGGCTGGTCCCTCCTGACAACATGTCCAGAGTACTTGAGATAAAATCTCGCCATCCTTGCTTCTAAGGAGCATTCTGGCTATACTTCTTCCGAGACAGATTTGTTCGTTCCTCTGGCAGTCCATGGTATATTCAATATTCTTCACCGACACCATAATTCAAAGGCATCAGTTCTTCTTCAGTCTTCCTTATTCATTGCCCATCTTTTGCATGCATACGAGGCGATTAAAAATACCATGGCTTAGGTCAGGCGCACCTTAGTCCTCAGAGTGACATCTTTGCTTTTGAACACTTTAAAGAGGTCTTTTGCAGCAGATATGCCCAATACAACATGTCATTTGATTTCTTTTTTCCCATAAAAAAATTTATACATACATTGTTATGTGACTTTAATTGCTCTCCCCATACTGTGACAGCAGACTCCTCCTTTCCACTCCTGATTT